ATTAAATGCTAGTGAACCAGTGTGCTCTAGTTTATATAACGGTATGGAAAGTGTACCGTAGTTTAGCTTTAATGACATAGTAAATGTTTCAATGTTTCATTATATATTGAAATAAATTATTGGCCATAAGTGGATTTTAGATTCTTGTTCATGGTTTTTAAAATTTTATTAGGACATGTTTATGCACTGTTTCTTTCACTTCAAGCTGCCCCCACCCTCGAAAGTTAAACTGTTCCTGGATGCTTGTAAAAAGTTACAGAATTAGAGGCTTTATTTTCTGATCTTCTGGGCCCATCCTGGACCAGTCAGCTGCTTTTCCTGTTGGAAGTTTGCATTAGGTTATTGGAGCAGAAATTTAAAAGAAAGGTTTATCATCATATGATTCATCCCCAAATGCCTTTTTTCCAGAAATAACATTAAATGAGCAGCTTTAACAGCACAAACGTTCCAGGCACTGAAAAAGAAAGGTCGTCCAAGAATGCAGTCTTTCTTGTGTGTTACAGATTAGGATGTGGGTGGTTTGTGCAGGACCAGAGCCCAAAGTGTGAGCGGAAACCAGGACTCTGAATAGAGGTTTAGAAACCAGGGGGGAAATTATCTGAGCAACAAGCACATAGAATTCATCTACCACTACAGTGTTAAAGAGCAGTATTTCGAGGGTTGAATTAAAAGTAATGCCTCCACCTTCGTAACTCCTCAATAGATGGCAGTACTGGTATGTGGCAGGTATTGGCTTGTTCAGTAGACTCTCCTCTACAGTTCCATTTTGGCGGGAAGCCTTATCATTGAATGGTTGTGTTGTTAAAGTCTGAAGTATGGAGCCCTGCGTAGATGGTTGGTCAATGCGACTTAAGGAACGTGCGGTCATTGAATTCTTGACAGCAGAAGGTGTCACCTCAACATCTTTAAACTTACTCGCCCAATGATGCACAGTTCTCACATCAATATAATCACCACAAACAGCTTGCATTCTCTGATTAATCTCCTTTGGGGTGACATCTTCTGCTGTCAAGAAGAGGAATGGGACAACTGGATTTCTAAGGCTGGATCTACACTGCCATATAATATAATTTCAAAATGAAGATTACCTGCATTGAACTGGATCATATGAGTATACTGCCATATAATCTGGTCTGTGCTGGTAATCTGCATTCTGAAACTGGCAGAGTAGATCCAGCTAAAGTGTGCATTGACAAAAATATTGGGCACTGTTAGTTTGTAACACAACATTATTCTATTCAGTTGAGCAAAGAGAATTAAAAGATGATTCAGTTTAAACTGATAGAATTATAGTGGATGTATTCCTTTGTGAGTTGCAGCTGGGTGCAGTCTTTTGTGGTCTGGTCTGAGTCAGTATCCTGAACAGATTTTTATTTAAGAAAAAAAAGTTAATTCCTGTTGCCGTTATAACAAGAATATGAGTCAGATTCCCCACTCTCTTCACAAAGCACTTCCCTCTGCATCTAGTAGAAAAATCTGCCTGAGGCTCTACAGACAAACTTATATTAAAGTAAGGAAAAGGCTTCCCCTTGACATTAAGTCCAGTCATTTCAGACTCTGAGGGGTGGTGATCATCTCCATTTCTAAGCTGAAGAGCCAGCATTGTCCATAAACACCTCCAAGGTCATGTGCCAGCATGACTCCATACCCTCCTGCTGAAGTGGTAACTACTGATCTACTAACATTTGCATGTTTTTGAACTGCTAGGTTGGCAGAAGCTGTGGCTAACAGCAGGAGCTCACCATGCTCCCCAGCTTCAAAACACCAAACTTTCAGTCAGCAAGTTCAGCAGCTCAGCGATTTAATCCACTGTGCCACAAACTTATACATAGGTCCAAATAAAGAAGAAATGAGATAATTTTGTGTGACTATTGCCTATTAAATATCACATGATCAATCACCAAACATTTTGAAAGATTTCGTTCAGTGTAATGTGTAAAAAACAATGCCTTTTTTTAGTCCCATATTAAGTAGACACCGAAATAGATCTCATTAGCCCAATAGATTTACTCTAGTTGGGAGAGTAGGGGGCCTTTTCTTGGGTTTGCATTTTCCTTTTGGGACCTCTGCTCATATTCAAGGCATGTGTCAGATAAGCCATTCATGGTTTGACAGTAAATTGCAGACTTTTAAAACATTCATATTTGTAACAGCAGTAACAATGAAGGCAGATAGTGAGAACTGCCACAATTAAGAAAGTCCTATAGATGGTGTGATGAAGAACTTGATATACTTCCAGATTATTATCACTAAAAACACATGGAAAAATTAGAATCAAATTCCCATGATTCTTGCAGTCGTGGCCCACAGTTTTACTTTGTCTCTGAAATTATATTTTTCATTTATTTGGATTTAAGCATGGCTGTGGCAAAGCACATAGAATGTTATGTGTATTGTAGCAGACTACAGGTCTTGCTTGTTTAGTCTCATCTACACTGAATAGCAGTTGTTCTCCAGGATTTGAGATTTGTCATTACCACTCCAACCTGGAAATGCCAGCAATTGGACCTGGGATTAGATGCAAAACAGGTGTGCTACCTCTGAGCTATTGTCTTTACGCAACATACCACACAGGATTGTTTGCAGTGGCTGCACTTAAATGAAGGTGTGTCTGCAACAACAGAGAGATACCAGGATACAGACACGCTAGTTTAGATCAGGCGTGAGATCATATAGCTGCCCAGCCCCAACCAGGATGGCCCATGATGGCAAATGCTGGGAATCGCAGTCTAGCAGAATCAGGAGGGCCACATGGTTTTCCTTCCAGATTTAGCCAGAAGTGGTCAATTTGCTAAAGCTCAAATTATCTGTTGTGTACCGTCAAGTTGTTTCTGATTTATGTCGACTTTATCATAGTGTTTTCTTGGCATGATTTCTTCAAAGAGGAGTTGCCTTTGCCTTCTTCTGGGGGCCCATCCAGACAGTACTCCGAAGCCATTCCAATTATGAATTGCATTTATTTCCTCTGCATTTCTTGTACTGCATTGCTTTACTGTCCAAAGTCTTGGTCCCATCGCGATGTTTTTATGTTTTTTTCCGAAGGTCAGGGTAGTGGGTGCTTATTTAATTTCACTGGGGAGGGAGTTCCAGAGCCGAGGGGCCACCACTGAGAAGGCCCTGTCTCTCGTCCCCACCAACTGCATCTATGAAGGAGGTGGGACCGGAAGCAGGGCCTTCTCAGAAGATCTTAATCTTTGAGATGGTCATGAGGGGAGATACGTTCAAACTGGTAAGCTGGGCTGGAACTGTTTAGGGTTTATAGGCTAAGGCCAGCATTTTGAATTGTGCTTGCTAGCACACTGGCAGCCAGTGGAACTGGTGCAACTGAGGGGTTGTGTGCTCCCCGTATATTGCTCCAGTGAGGAATCTGGCTGCCACCCGTTGGACCACTTGGAGTTTCCAAACAGTCTTCAAAGGCAATCCCACATAGAGTGCATTGCAGTAGTATATTCGGGATGTAGCAAGTGTGGAGCACTGTAGTCAAGTCTGACTTCTCAAGGTATGGGCGCAACTGGCGCACAGGTTTTAATTGTGCAAAAGCATACCTGGCCACCACCAAAACCTGATGAATCCAGGATCAGTGATGAATCCAGGATAATTCCCAAGCTGTGAACCTGCATCTTCAGGAGGAGTGTAATCCTGTCAAACACAGGCTGTAACCCTATACCGTTTGGCCGGCCTTGTGACTGACTAGGAGTACCTCTGTCTTGTCTGGATTCAGTTGCAATTTATTCGCCGTCATCCAGACTATGAGTTACATTGTCATATAATCCATTTCAAAGCAGATGATCTAGATTTTATGTAGTGTAGAAGGGATCTCAGTGTAATGCTCTAGCCCAGGGGTCCTCAAACTAAGGCCCGAGGGCCAAATGCGGCCCTCCAATGTCATTTACCCGACCCTCACTTAGAGTCAACCTAAGTCTGTAACGAGGAGCCCCCGATGGCGCAGTGGGTTAAAGCACTGAGCTGCTGAGCTTGTTGATCGAAAGGTCGCAGGTTCGATTCCGGGGAACGGCATGAGCTTCCGCTGTCAGCCCTAGCTTCTGCCAACCTAGCAGTTCGAAAACATGCAAATGTGAGTAGATCAATAGGTACCGCTCCGGCGGGAAGGTAACGGTGCTCCATGCAGTCATGCCGGCCACATGACCTTGGAGGTGTCTACGGACAACGCTGGCTCTTCGGCTTAGAAATGGAGATGAGCACCACACCCCAGAGTCAGACATGACCGGACTTAATGTCAGGGGACTACCTTTACCTTTACCTAAGTCTGTAACGACTTGAAAGCACACAACAACAATCCTATCTCATCAGCCAAGAGCAGGTCCACACTTCCCATTGAAATACTAATAAATTTATATGTGTTAAAATTTTTCTTCATTTTATTTATGGTATTGTTTTTAAGTGGTTTTTGCACTACAAATAAGATATGTGCAGTGTGCATAGGAATTCATTCATGTTTTTTTCAAATTATAATCCGGCCCTCCAACAGGTCAGAGGGACTCTGACCTGGCCCTCTGTTTAAAAAGTTTGAGGACCCCTGCTCTAGCCATTAGACCATGCTGGCTCTCAACATTTTTCTTAATAGCTGCACTTTATCACTGATTTAGGACTGACTGCGTTCCCTCATCTCTCTTTGAAAAACCCTATCCCAGTTATATCCTACCTAGTTCATGGCCAGCGTTATTTTTTAAATTTTAAATTATTACATTTGGCCCGGCCAAATGTGATTTATATTAATTGTTTTGTATTGATTGTTTTTGTTATTGCTTTTGTTTACTGATGTACTGTGTGCTTGGCCTCATGTAAGCCGCACCGAGTCCCTTGGAGAGATGGTAGCGGGGTATAAATAAAGTTTTATTATCATCATCATCATCATCATTTCTTCACTTGAATATAGCTTTGTATTAAAATAATACTTGCATAATACTTGCATGGTAGCATGTTAAAAATTATTATTTTTTTCAAAAATTTTCATATAACTATTTTTTTTTAATTTTTAGATGAAAAGAAGAAAACAAAGAAAATTGACAGCGAACTCAATCCTGTTTGGAATGAGGTGACTTTCTCTTACTTTTCTTTCTGTTATGCACTGATGATGATCCAATAAGGCAGTGTATATGTACCATAGCCCAGCTTTGTGCTCTGTTTTAGTACTTTAGTACACAATTATCAAGGGAACAATAGATAGAGTCCACATTACTGTTAGTTAAAGTCAGGTGGTTGCCTCAAGTAATACATTCTGAATGTCATATAGTCAGCAAATTAAATATTAGCTATTTAATAATAGCTTTTAACTGACAGTGTAATTCTACACCGTAGAATTAATGCAGTTTAATACCCCTTTAAGTGCCATGATGAAATAGAACTTGTGTATGTCTTGTTGCTGAAATAAAATGTGCAAGATAGAGAACAACATGCATATTTCCCATCAGTGAAAGATGCAAAAGCTCTGTTTCAAAGGATTTATTGATCTTTTCTCCCTCTGTTCCTTAATACTTGGGTTTATTTTAGTGAAATGTTATGTACTTAAGGAAGTGCCAGATATGGCCAGCAGCTGGGTAAATAAATAGGAAATGAAAAGAATTGGGTTGAATATGAATACCTCAACAGGCATGCATCACCTGAGGCATGTTTATTGCCTACTGAAATCAATGGCGAAAGGGTGGAGTTCTCATTCATTTTTTACAGCCAACATTGTGTAGAACTACCCTTCATTGATATTTCATCGTTGCCTCTTCTCCCAAACACAACAGATTTCAGTAAGCAATAAACATGCCTGAATGTGCTTTGCAGCAAATTCAGTTGTAACTGTTTTACCGATTCCTTTTGCAGATTCTCGAGTTTGATTTGAAAGGAATACCACTGGACATTTCATCATCCCTGCAGATTATTGTGAAAGATTTTGAAACAATTGGGCAAAACAAGTATGTTGGATTTTTAAAAAAAATTAAAAACTCTCCTTGGTGCATTTATCTATCAGTACAATTTCTTTTGAGGGAAAAGTAAATTTTACAGTTTCAATGCAGTAAATTTTTGTCAGCATTGTGTAGTGTCTTGAGCATAGGGTTGCAACTCTGGAGACTAGGGACCTCATCAGACAGGCAAAGGAAACCAGAGGAAACCATCCTCCTTTGTTCCCTACTGTCTTTTCCTGTCTTCTGGGATGGCCACCCATCCCACATAGTTTCCGGACCTTTCCTGTAGTCTCCCTTTTTGTGTTCCCAATTATGAGTCAGGTAACGCCCGACTCTTCAAAAGTCCTCTGGGGTCCATTTCTCGACACTGCTGAAATGGAGGCCCACAGAGTCCAACCGGAAGATGCATTGCGTCATGTGATAGACACCATGGGACTCCGTTTCAGCAGCATAGAGAAGCAGGGAGAAGATGCAGAGAAGACTGCATCTGATGAGGTCACAGGATTTAATTGGCCACGGAAACCCACTGGGCAATGAAACTTCTGAAGTACCGTATTTTCTGGCATATGACTACTTTTTAACCCAAGAAAATTTTCTCAAAAGTCAGAGGTCGTCTTATACGCAGGAGTCGTCTTATATGCGGGAATAGTTTTATACGTCGGGAGTTGTCTTATAGAGCGGGTGCTGAAACTTCCAATCGGGATTGGAGAATCTGTGGTTGTCGCATATGGTGGGGGGAGCTCAAAAACGGCAGTGGCCGCGTCCCTGCCACATGCAGTGACTGTATGAAAGCATTAAGGGCAACATTGTACAAGTATGGTAGAAGAAAATCCATTCATCAGGATTCGTTGACCTAATGTGGTTCCGATGGTGAAGTGAAGGGGTGCCTCACCGGGAAGGTGTAAGTGAAGGGTGGAGCAAGCTGCAGGCATCCAGGGCGCCCGGGATATGGAAAAAAGAGATAGAGTGGCTCTGGGCCCAGAAAAACACGTCTCTTTTACCTGTCTGGCCCGCCCTTGTATCCTATTGCCGTACCTCCTCCTCTGCCTCTCAGATCTCACTCCTGAAGACTGCAGGTGCGCATGTGCAAGATCTGAGAGGCAGAGAAGGAGGTACAGTAATAGGAAAATTACCATATTGAAATCAAATCTGATGCCTTTTAAATTTTTATTTGTTGTGCGTTGGAAGAGGGGTAGTCTTAGACGGTGAGTATGTCCCAAACTCTATATTTTAACTGGAAAAGTTGGGGGTCATCTTATACGCCCAGTCTTATATGCCGGAAAATATGGTACTTTTTCAAACTGTGTATTCACTCTCAGTGCACTTCCAGACAACATCAAAATGCAAGTTTTAAAAGTAGGGCAAAAAAATCCCGGGACAAGTCCTGTCTGTCCCAGAAAATGGTCCCCCGCCATCCCCATACCTTCCTTTGAAGTGGATCAAGCTAGAGGGCAGATGGAGGACACCCAGCAAAAGGTTTTTAAAAATGTACTCCACTATGCACTGGATGTCATATGCGCACGTGCGGAGATCCCAATGTACACACAAACAGGTTTCTTATCTCTCTTCATCCAACTGTTAATTCAAGCTCTGTTTAATATTATAAGAAGTAAAGGGTTGGTTGCAGAGAGCTCTAATTGCTTTCCGATTGTACTTCCCTTCAGTCACCTCTGTGTCCGTAACTCCATTTTTTAACAGTTCGATTGACTGTTTCAGGCTTTTAAAACACGTACGCTGGAGCAGTCCACACAGGGGAGTGAAAAGTGTGAGGGCTGGTAAATGTGAATAAGCAGAATAAGCAGAAGTTTTACCACAACACTGGAACCAAGATACAATACAGTACAATAAAATGTCACTCAGGCTTGTGAAACAAGTAACAGTATCTTTACTTTAGGTCAAAACAGGGTAACAATATATATTTCAGTCTTTTTGAATTCAGGCAGAAAACAGAGGAATAAAATAGTATTTTAAAATAGTCCTTGAAATATGCCTCATGCCATAAAATGATCAGTCTTCAAGATAGTTGGCAGCCAGCACTATCTCTTCATTGTCCAAAATGAGAAAATGGCAAAATGACAGTTATAACCGTTGGTCTCAGCAGCTAGCCAGAGGCAGCAGCTAATTAGAACTCTGGCTCCTGACACGAGCAGCCAGTGAGCTGCTGACACATGCCTCTCCAGTTAACCCACCATATCATGGCATCCTTTTTCAAATCCTCAGAAGAAGGAAGTCATGTGTTTTCTATGCAGGGATACATAGTCATGTGAATGTGCACATTTTTGGGGCGGAATCTGGTTTTAAGCACACCTTTTAAACACCTTCTTTTCAGCTGTTAACCCGATTCCATTTGCACTTTCTTCAAACATCATTTAGCCAACCCACAACTGGATTATATGGCACTGTAGACTCATATAATCCAATTCAAAGCAATATTGTGGATTATTTGCTTTGATAATCTGGATTATATGGCAGTGTAGAAGGGGCCTCAGTCATGAAAACCTGCTGGGAGACCTTGGGAAAGTGACACGCTCATAGGGCCCTTCCACGCAGCCATATAATCCAGAATATCAAAGCAGCTAATCCACAATATCTGCTTTGAACTGGGTTATCTGAGTCCACACTGTCATATAATCCAGTTCAATGTGAATTTTATACAGCTGTGTGGAAAGGGACTCGGATTCAACAGAAAGCAAAAATAAACCTCCTCTGAACAAATCTTGCCAGGAAAAACCTGGGATAGTTTTGCCTTGGAGTCACCATAAGTCAGAAATGATTTGAGAGTGCAACTTTCCAAAGTGGATTTGTGGGTCAGTATACCAGCAACTCACAAGATGTCCTCAGTCATGTCACAGGAATGAATGGGTGATGCCGTGTTTCTGACAAAATAAACAACACACCCAGAAATTAATTACTTTTTTTAAAGTCTGAAAGAAATTTCTCTAAAAATGTAGCAAGGATAGATCAACAGAACTGTAATTTTCACTGAGTCTGGCTCTATAATGAAGTTTGAATCTGTATTATATGGTCAGTATAGACCATATAATGTAGTATAATGTAGTTTAGCTGCATTGAACTGCATTACATGCGTCTACATCAGGGTCCACAAACTTTTTGAACAAAGGGCCAGGTAACAATCCCTCAAACTATTGGAGGGCCGGATTATAATTTGAAAAAAAATGAATGAATTCCTATGAACACTTCACATATCTTATTTGTAGTGCAAAAAACACTTTAAAACAATACAATAATTAAAATGAAGAACAATTTTAATAAATATAAGCTTATTAGTATTTCAATGGGCCTGTTTTTGGCTGATGAAATAGGATTGTTGTTGTTGTTGTTGTTGTTGTTGTTGTTGTTGTTGTTGTGTGCTTTTAAGTCATTTCAGACTTAGGTTGACCCTGAGCGAGGGCCGGGTAAATGACCTTGGAGGGTCTTATCTGGCCCCTGGGACTTAGTTTAAGACCCCTGGTCTACACTGACCATATAAATAACAGTTCCAGCCCAAGATATATAGAGAAAAGTAGGCTACAATTAGACTTTGTGCAGAAGAAGCTTGGGAGGAAATAAGATGGGAGGGATAGCAAGTCTGCGAGGTACGAAGCATGCAAAAGATAAAGAGCCTGACACACACAAAAATGATCAGTGGAATTGCATTAATCAAAACAAGCGGGAAGAGGAGATTATGATACGGAAAGATGTTGTCAGCACATTTTGCTTCAGGGTTGGAAAAAAATGCCATCTAGAACTCATTCCCCCAATAGCACTTGACATACTACAATCAGCCCTCCACATTTAGGTTTGCCTTTTGTGGATTTGATTAATATGTATTCTGTAGGAATATCTGGGTCCTTCTGAGTGACTCTTTGCTCCATTTCTGCTGGAAGTTGCCCATATGGTCACACAGGAGGACCAGAGAGACCATTACTTTTGGAATATGTAGTCCTCCAGCGTGATTCTATGATCAACTTTTGACAGAGGACCTAGAGATTCCTAGATAGGTTTTCCTTTATGTTCAAAAATTAGTGTTATTGTTTTGCTTTTTTTTCAGTTTTCAGGGGGATTCTGTGCCCCTAAACCTCAGCAAATGTGGAGGTCTGAATGTATTCTGTTTACGACTGAATCATATGAAAATGATGCTTGTGGGAAGGGATAGTGATATTCAAACAACTTCACAGTGTAAAGGACTGTAACCAAACACAGACACCATTGTTTTTAAAAACCTCTTTTATGGAGACAGTGCTAGAGGCGTCATAGATATCTGCATATCTATCTGTATATGTGGGATGGTTCTAGTAAGACAAAGATTTATTTGAATTGTACCCTGCCCTTCCTCATAGATGCAATCTACACTTATTGTTTAATGCAGTTGGAAATTAGGTTCAAACTCTGGCAGCTAGACAACAAAGAGCCACAATAGCAGGCAAAAAAGCCCCTTAATGCACATCTGTGTTCTGTGGTTCATGTAATCACCACCCTGGAGCCTCAGACAGGCTCCAGGATTTCCTATGTATTCATATGAACAGCAAAATCACTTTCTTTAATACTGGTTTGAAACTGCATTAAATGGTCAATGTAGATGGGGCCATAGAAGTTCAGTGCTCTAATATAATATAATGTAAAGCCCGGTGGCGCAGTGGGTTAAAGCACTGAGCTGCTGAGCTTGCTGATCAAAAGGTCGCAGGTTCGATTCCGGGGAGCGGCGTGAGCTTCCGCTGTCAGCCCTAGCTTCTGCCAACCTAGCAGTTCGAAAACATGCAAATGTGAGTAGATCAATAGGTACCGCTCCGGCGGGACGGTAACGGCGCTCCATGCAGTCATGCCGGCCACATGACCTTGGAGGTGTCTACGGACAACACTGGCTCTTCGGCTTAGAAATGGAGATGAGCACCACACCCCAGAGTCAGACATGACTGGACTTAATGTCAGGGGACTACCTTTACCTTTTTAAACACATATTATGAAAATCAAAACCTAGCTAAACTACTTAAAATCACAAGTTTAAAAGT